CCATAACTTGGGTAATTGGATCCCGATTTTTAAGTGGGATTACTCTACGTGTTTGTTGTTGAATTTTCTAAGATTCTACATTAAAATTTGTTTTTTAAACGACAGTCAAAATTCTAGCCCATTTCATGTTCGTTTTTTCGGTATTTCCAATGGCCTTCCGAATCGGATCCCAAAACTGCTCTTCCAAATTCCATGACCTTAATTATTGGACCCCAATCTTCAAGTGCGATACCTCTATGCGTTTGTGGTTGAATGTTCTAATTTAAAATGTGAAATACGAAATGTTTGTACCAACTAAATGGCTTATGTTTGTCGTGAATCAGGAAAAAACTGAAATAAATGTTCATGCTCCCCTCCTTGGAGCACGCCGGCATAGACCGTTTCGTCCTGCTGAGCGAGATATAATGAGTTTTTTAATAAAAACTGACGCAGTATAGCAGGATATAATGCCGGGGTGACGCTGCCCACCCACGAGGACCTCCTCTGTCCCACATCCATCAACACCACCCATTCAAAATTCAAATATACGGCGTCACCTTTCATTTGAAAAGAAGGCCACAAGGGTAACTGAAAATTATGGGAGAAAGGAGCCAAGGAGCCGGAGAAAGTGGGACAATAGAAAGGGAAAGAAAGTAACAAAAATAAAAGTAAGCCAACAAAAAGGTTTGGACAACTCAAAGTAATTGAAGCGCGACTTTTTGACCGGTCGTTGCAAAACCAAATATACAGAAAATTTAGAAAAACAGTGTGTTTCAGGATTGTAAAATGATTGCAAGCCAAAAAGTGAAAACATATTTAACATGTAAAGATTTATAGCAAAAAGCAAGCTCAGTAGTTTTAAATATTTGTGGCACCCCTTAAACATTTTTATATTCTTCAAAATTAAATTCGTTATTAATTTAATTTAAAATGAATCATCTTTAGATACCTATACATTAATTTGAAAAACATATATATAATTTATTTATTTCAAGCTATCTAAAAAGGGATATATTTGGCTGTATATTTTGCGTTTTTGCGCAGCTGACCGAGCCAGTTACCTGGCCATTTGTTGACCTTTTACTGAATTTTAAACGCCATTCGCCCCAGGTGCGAATGTCGTGACTTGAATTCCCGGCCTTTTCTTGCAACGCACCCGAACTTTTCTTCAATTTTCCTTTTTCCAGTCTTTTTGTTTTCCCCCTCCCCCTCCCTCGACCCTTATTCTTTTGCGGTTGACCCCACCAAAGAGGAGCGGGGAAGGTCAACAGCCGCTGGGCCTAGCAATCAAAAAATAAGAAAGAATACAAAGAAAACATGAAAAAAACGAAGGCAAAGGAAGGAAATTACGATTCGTAGAGAAATTTACATTTTATTTATTGATTAAATTTGCCTGCACAAACAATCAGCCGGCAGAATTTATTACAATTTATTTAACCGCGACTTTAGTCCAAACCAGAGGCTTAAAAACTTAATTAAAAGGCGTTTGTGTGTAATATGTGAAATGTATGAGCAATATATATTCAGTATGTGACCCTTGGCCATCAGACTAATTAATTTAAATGGCGATTTTCATGGCGATTGTACCCAAATTTATTGATGTAATATGATAATATGGATAATAATACTCAATAAGTGAAAAATCATGTTTAATATAATATTGCAATAAATGTTCAAGACTTACTAAAAAAAGAATAGTTAAACTTACTCATGGATCTGGGTTATATAAACGTTATTATATTTATATGGATAGGTCTTCCCTTCAAGTAATATTCTTCGTTTGCTTACCTGAAATATAAATATGAAAAAGGTTTGTTTTAAAGTACTTAATGTATATTAAAAGATAACCCGTAGAAAGGATCCCTAGCCCTGAGACTAATTAATTAATACACATATTTCTAAGCATTTATGTTTTGCACAAGCGATATATTATGTAAATTCGCAGTTCCGTGAAAAATATTCATGCATAAAACATTGTCCATCAATTGGAGGTGTATCGCATTCCGGCCATGTAAATGCGGATGAGGGCCATCGACTTCCTCTTCCTGCGGCCGGAAGTGGGAGAAAGTGGGAGAAAGGGGCCCGGATAAGCAGGTCGCCTAAGCTCCGGCCTTCGAGTTCGTTGCCTTTGATGTCGCCCAAAATGGTTGAAAATGCATATTAAATGTGTGGACTAAGTGGGTTCATTTGACTACTTGACAATTAGCTAATAGGAAGGCGGGTATCATAAACGAAGAAGAGACTACCAAGAACCAATAAAGAACTAAGTAAAAAATTTCTTAGAACGAAGAATTCAAATAAAAATTTAAAATAATTAAAATACTATTTTTAGCTTGCATTATTTTATTTTTATATATATAGTAACAAAATATTATATTTAAATAATAAAATACTAAGCAAGATTTTGAAAACAAAGTTTTAGGAATCATTAAAGCTATGTATTTATGCATTTAAAACAACAGCAACAGCTGCAAAGTAATTTGAAATGAAATGTTTCCGTAACTTTTCTCTCTTCTCCTTCCTTTTCCTCTTAATGGTCGTTTTGATATAAATTGTTGTTGCTATTGTTATGCTTCCTTAATCTTCAACTTCAAAGTTTCCATTTCGCATTTTTATATGCACACGTTAAGAGCCGAATGTTACGAGGTATCACGGGGTTGCTGGGCACTTTTGGTATAATAAATCCTAACTTTTGGAGATCACAAAGTATGTTTGGGGTTTAGGAAGGTATATTAAGGGATCAAGAATGTATCTTTATAAGAAAATATTAAACCCCTTCATATTTTGTGTCATTAAGTTAAAGGATTGATATATACAAAATTAACAACATCCTTAGGACTTTTTTTCATCTAGTGACTCTAGAACATTTTAGTTTCTTATGATTTTTAAATTAGGAAACTCTGAACGAGCACTATAGATTTTATATATTTAGTTATATATTTTAAACCTCGATTTTAACTTTTTATCTTGAAAGATTAAGGGAGAAGGCTATACATCGTATAACCCTTGACATATACCATACACAGAGATAATTATTTAAGTACATTGTTCTTGAGTTGAGAACATTCGTTCTTAAAAGCCGTCTAAGTACATTTTGGTATCAATGTTCTCAATACTAGAACAAAATGCTGACTGGAATAATAGTTTAATTGTTGAGATATACAATGTAAATACCGCCAATTAGACTTGACTCGAGCAAAATACAAAATATTTTCAACTTAAAAAATGTTGTTCTATTTTTAAGAATATTTTTAACTCAAATGAGAACGTCAAAATTTTCTCTGTGTACTTGCTTGCTTGCTTTTCCTATCGGAATTTTAACCAATGGGTATTTCGGAATTCACATGGTTTTTCCTTGGGGAGTTTTGTTTTCCCTTTCTTCGAAATGTTGAGCAAGCAGTTGCAGTTGCGACTGAATGAATGAACAATAACGTAACGAGACTTGAGCAACTTGCGTTAAGCAAATTAGAAAGGAAATTCGCTCGCACACACACACACATGCCCGCGTTTCCGCCGAGTTTTCCAAGATGGGGGCGGCAGCAGGAGGGCGTGGCCGGATAAAGGAGGCTGGCAAGGATGAAGTTTTGTTTTTTTTTTTGTTTTTCGGGGGCCGTGTCGGCTGCTCTGGCTATTTCGTTCTTGAAGTGCGCACTTCACTCGAGTAATTTGCCACGACACGCGCACTCACACACGCACTTGGGCACACTCACACTCACACCCACACTAGCGCACCCTCGCACGCACACTAGCGCGCGCACGCACAGCTGGCAGCCATTTTGACACACACACACACGCACATGTGCTGACATTTAGATTGAAAAACGAGCCAAAAAGCAAAGGCAACATATAATCGAAAAATGCTTCGCCAAGGGGAAATGATACAAAGCAATGTTTTCACGTAGCCGCCGCCAGGGGGCGTTACAGGTGTGTGTATGCACAGTGCGGGGCAAAGTAGTAGCACTAAGCGTAGGTACTTTTAAATGTTATTTGTAAACCAAAAATGTGATACTTTTCTGATATATTAAACAACTTGACTTTTTTTTTAATTTGACAATTACAATTATAGATATAGAAATATAAATAAAACAAAGAGATTTAATATCAGTTTTTTTAATTAGTAAATTAATCTAAAATATGATAAACAATGACCGCAAATAACTTAAGTTCATTTGAGCTGAATATAAATAAATAAATATATTTATGTACATCTGTACTATTTTTCTTACCGCCCTTGTACACCTGTGTGAATGCATATGTATGCGTGGCACACTGTGCGTGTGGCAAGTGAAGTGAAGTGAAGCGTATGCTAAATTTTTATTGAAGTGCATACAAACAAACATGCCCGAAGGCGGTTCACTCAGCCGGAGGGAAAACTGTTGACACTGCCCCCGTAGACTTTTCCACCACCCCCCCTCCGCGCTTTCCCCCCCTCGCCCAAGGTCGCAGCTTGTCGCTGGTAATTTTCCTGTGTAACAACAACAAAAGCGGCAGCAGATAAAAAAGAAGTGGCAGCCAAAGTAGATAAAGCCGCTGGAGTCGAAGCCACCTTAAATACAATTTAAACCCGTAGCCAGAATGCACTGGGAGAAAAAGTTTAACGGCTACAAGTACAAAAAATATTCCACATAAAATAAATATTTTATTGGAAAAAGAGTAAAAGATATATCTTAGCTAACAAAAGTCTACAATTTGTAATATAAAAATCAATACCAAAGAAAATATTTCAAAACAATTTTCCTTAACCTATACTTAAAATGAAATGAAGTATATATGTATGATAAAATATTTATGCTTATATTCGTTGCCTTAAAAATTCCCTAGCTTTTACATTTAGTAAGATTGCGATTATCAAAACCAGAACAGGTAGTCGATGCAAAAGTGGGTAACTCATTATTGAGCGAAAACCGGGACTGCTTGGAAATGATAAAGAGACCTTACTGATTAAGACGTAATATCATTTTTTAATCAAATAAGTACTTGTAGATACCAAAGCTTTGCCATAAAAAGTGGGTCCGAATTAATTTCCAAATCAGTTTGAAGTGATTCGTCACTGCGAAATAGTTATCAAAATGAAATATCCCACAATAGTATTATTCGCTCTGGCCGCACTCGTTTTGCCAACGCTGGCGTCCAATGACTACCTGTGGGGCACAATCGGCGACAACGACTACAAATTGGCCAAGGATACCGTTTCGAAGGCATTCTTCGTGGGCGTGGTGCAGAAGAAAACCTATGTGTTCAAGCAGTCGGTGAGTGATATTCATATATGTTTTTACCATATACCACTAATCCATAGTATCCATAATATCCATAACAGAACAACCTGGACGCCCTGACCATTACCGCCATTAAAGTTACGGACAAAAAGAAATCGAACGGAGCCACCGTGGTTTTATCCAGTGGAGGTCCTGGATCCAAGGGAGCTACCCTTAAATTTACCTCCGAGAGGGGCTGCGGTATCAGTGATTTGGTGGAAATATGGGGCCGTTGAAATGCATTTCACAAACGTGTCTATGTGCAGAAATAATAAGATCCGATGCAGCATAACCCAAGGTGTGTTTTTTCTTTCTTTTCTTTTGAGACAATATAGTACTTTAGATCCATACAGAAATCTAGTTCTGATCATTTTTTTTATTTTATAGCTTGGTGTATTTATCCCAAAATCATGTTGTTCTCGTCAAACTGTTAATAATATTTTCCCAAAATTCTAAATTTGGTAAACTTGATAGCTCATATAATTTATCTCTGTGTGTAGGAGGTTACCTTGGCATAGACACGAAGCGCTGCGAAATAAAGCTGAACAAATCGAGAACACCTACAGCGATAACAACAAAAGCGATAAAATATATAGGGAAAAGGCGTCGAAGCTAAAATACACTTGAAAAGATCTAAAAAGAAAAGAAAATTGTTAGATAAAAAGGCTTGAAAAAAAGGTGACCCACAACTGCTATCCTAAGGCCCATATTTCAAACGCCGAATGTAACATACTGCTTAAAAGTCGTGGCTTAATTCAAAGGGTATTTTTTAATTCTATATAGTATTTCCAAGCTGACAATGATTTGACCGAAAGTGACCACCTAACTTGGCCAATTATCGATTTCAAAGTTACATACATTTTTAAGTTGTTTGCTTGATTACTTAATAATGAGAACTTTCTTTTCAGTTATATTTTTTGGAAAATATTAAGTTTTGTTGTGTCACTTAACCAAACCATGAATTAAAGCAATTGTTAGAAATTTATTATAATATGACACTGTTAACTGTTTGTTATTTCTAAATAAATTTAAAGTTTATTATAATATGATAGCTGTTTATTATTTTTAGAGCTCTTTCCGAAGGGTGTCTTAAGACGGAACTTCAAGAGGGGCTTACGAAAATATTTCGTGTGCCAAAAGAAGAAATATGCTGACCGAAATCACCAAGGAGTGGTGTGGGTGGCGATGGGTGGTTGTGGGTGATTTTGGGTGGTTCTTGGCAGGTGGTTTTCCCCCCTGCACTTCTGCAGACATTTATATTCCACCGCCACTGATGACGACGATGGCAACGACACAAAAGTTGAGTTCAAACACTCAATCATTTTTACACCCGACTATGCACACACACACGGGCACTCCCCAACACCAGCAAACATCTGTTGTGTCCACACACACACACACACAGACACTGGGGTGTGTTGACAGCACACGCACACAGGTGCAGCGTAGCGTATTTAGCTATAAATAAATTTTCAATATTGTTCTTCTCACCACAAAAAAGAAAGTTGAAAGCGGTTTGGGGGGAGGGGGCATTTTGAATTTTCTATCACAATTTTTTGTGCTTTATTTTTTTGTGGCTGTCGCGCGATAACTGAATTGCAATTGAATTTAATTATTTTTAGCGCAAACACGCTGGTGGACAAAAAAATAAAATGTCGCTAACGCTTTGAAAATCCTGTGGGGGGAATTTAAAATGTTGTTCAGCTGCGCAACAAAGCGGAAATTTTGTGTAAGCCGTGTGTATCCCCGAAAAAAAATATACAAAGGTATATACCACCTATATATACATATTCGTAGGTATATATATGTATAAAAGCAACTCAATCAATGTGCTCCAACGACTCAATTTCAAACTTAGGTGTGTCAACACTTTCGGAAAAAACATCACTCGGGCCATAAGGGCAGTGCGAGCGAGAGGGCTGCTGTTTGCCTTATTTATTATTAAATATAAATAATGAAAAATCAATAGAAATTTATTTATACATATTCATCAATATGTATACGAATTGCGCCCAGCCGGGGACATCGCCAGCAAAATGAACAACATCCCAACTGACTCGCACCAAAACACAGCAGACCACAAAAAAAAATGGACTAAATTTCTTATAATTACAAAATTGAAATGCTTTGAAGTGCTTGCATACGCATAAAAAAATATACACAATGATTTTTAGAAATTTAAAATTTTATAAATTACAAAAAAAGCATTAACTTTTTTTCTTAAATTTCAAAAATCTCCACTGATTCAATGCGAATAATGGTTCTTTTCTGATTAGGCTTTCTTTCTAATTATACTTAATATTCTTTAATTTTACTCAAGCATATTTTAATTGTACAAAGCGCTTTAGTAATTATGGAAATATGTTGGTAACTATCTTAAATACCCAGATATAAATATGCAAACATTTTAAAATATTATTCCTCTATTCTAAGCCCTATTTGTGCGCCCTCAATCGTACCCACAGGCCAAAGTTCATGAGACGAGGCAAAGGGGTCAGCAGCCACAGGCGCGGGGCTTCTGTTCTGAGTGAGGGAATTAACTTTAGGATAAATTTGTCATGTTGTCGAACCAAAAAAGAAGAAAAAAGAATAAGCCAGAAAAAGAGCAAGTGGGGGAAAAACACCGATGGTTAACTCAATTATTTATGATGTATGCATGTGCATGTAGCTGGCTCTAACCGGATTAAAGGGTTCGGCCCAGAGGTGTTACACTCGTGACTTTCTTGCCCCCATGTACTTACGAGTGTTCTGGGCCAAAGATATTTAAGCCGACCACTTCTTGGCTGTTCAAATATTCCTGTCCTCAAAGTAAACCCCTCAAATAAATTTAATTACCTATTGAATTGAATTTTTGCGTTTACCTATCGAAAAGCCTATAATAGAATATTCAATTGATGGGTAAATGGGTAATATCATTTTGAGATATATAAAAATGGTTTATTGATAAAGAACCTACTAAGTTCACTACTGTTTTTAAGCTTAACCATCATTATATTAATTTGCTTTATAGGTAAAACAGTAGAAATGAAAAATTCTTATCACCATTCAATTGCAAGTTTGTATTCCATTAAAGTTATGATGTAGTACAATGCACTTCCTGAAAGTACAATTTGGCAATCAAACAAGGAGAGTTTTTTGCCAATCCCTAGGATGAAATTGAATCACCTTCGCCACTCAAACACATCCTGCAATCCAATCACCTTAATCAATTCCTAATAACTGGCAATGCAATCCGGCAGATAGCCGCAGGCGAAAACAAAGCCAACAAATTTCAGGCAAAAATCCCGCCTCGTATGCCACACAATAATCGGATTCCCCAGGCTCGTCCGGGGATATATCTTTTAAGTTGATTACTCGAGGAGTTACAGTCCCATTGGGGCGATTGGGGGCAGTTGGAATGCCAGCTGGCTAGAGGAGATCTTTGCAAATTGAACGCTTTTCACCCCCTTTCCACTGGCCAGTTAGGAAAAGTAAAAGTGGGTTCCACTTTCAACACTCAAGTGGCAATAAAGTAGTAAGATTGCCAGAGCTCTCTTGTTTGTTGCCAGCGTGTTTTTAAATTAATTGCATGAAATTAGAATTTTATTGGCAATCGACATGGCCAGCAGTAAGTTTGTGGTGGCTCCTCCGGTTTGCAGGATTATCCTGGAAAGGGCATTTCGATTGTCCTTTGCATTCGCATTCGCATCCGCACTCTAATTGAATGAATGCGAAATTCAATTTTCATTGCATTATTCATGGCGATTTTTCGATGGTAGCCAGCATAATTGCGGTCAATTGAATTTGCAAATTGGCAATTATAATTACAGCAAACAGCAACCAACCAACCAACCAACCAACCATCCAAAATGGAAACAAAACTCAACGCGAGTTTAGGCGAGGGGATTCACATATCAATTGAAATGGAAATTGCTATGAAATGAACAGATATAGTTGATAAGTAAATAAATGGAAACTACTGCGAGTCGATTAGAGAATAATAAAATATAAGCTGGTTACTATTCTCTGGGAGTATTCAATTTTACTAATATTTCAATACTAATTTCCTTGTTCTGACTTAATTTAATTTAATTTAAGGCAACAAACTTACAAGACTAATTAAATAATTATTGGTATGTTTTAAAGGATTTTACAAATTTGTTTATACCGAATTTTACTTTTACTTTAAATTGTATTAACTTGGGCAAAACCTTTTTGATTTAAATTTAAGCGAAAACCCAAAATCGAAAGCCCTTTAAAATATTATTAAAAACTCATAAGCTATTTAAAACGTTGAATATATTTAATAACGGTCTGGAAATGTCTTAATTACGAAAACTGCACAATTAACAAGCTCTTAATACATTCCATTAAATTAACTGCTAATACCTCAATTAGTTTTCCATTCTGATGGGCTTTCATAATTAGATGTCCTTAGTTGTCCGCCCACTTTTGTCTGAAAATTGAAGTATCGATGATTAAATGGAGTTGCGATTACATAACCATCCATCCTCACAGCAAATCCATCCATATTCCGGCAATTAAAATGCATTATCAACTGTCAATTGTCTAGTGCTCCGAAATGTAGGCTGCAGAAATGCTCAATTATCCATTTTAATTGGCATATATGCCAAGTGAGTGTTATTGAACATTTTATAACAATTGTACAGGGCGGGAAAATGGATTTCCATGCCATTTGGACAACACATCAAATTCTATAACAATACTTTTTTATTGTGTTTAATATTTTCCACTAAACTAAGCAATCAATCAGTAACAATACATTTCTCTAAAAATCTATTATCTTGATGTTGTATTTACATTCAGTTTTCGAATTTTACTTTCTTTTTGTTACTGACTTTCACTAACTTTCAGTGCTTAGTGCTTACCAAACTAAGCAATCAACCAAAACGTTAAATTTAAATATGTATAGATATTGTCTTGAAATCTATAGTTACATTTAGGCCTTAAATTTTAGATTATCTCTAAAGCTCACTTTGTTTTTTCTCTGTACACTTGTGGTTATAGATAAACGCATCGCCAATATATTGAAATTCGACTGAAGATGATGACAATGATCTGTCGTCGAGATACTCAAATGCAAAGCGTTTAGACTGAGGTCATTTTGGGTTATTTAGCAGAAGGGGGTTGAAGGTCACCATCCATAGGGGGGATAGGGTTTTGGGCAGACTGTGGGCCTCTTTGGGGCCTCATGTTTCATTTCATTTCGGTTTGTTACGCAATCAAAATGACTGACAGCTAAATATGCATATTCAATTAGAGAGCGAGGAGTTGAAAGGAAAGGCAAACAGG